TTTTGTACCTGCCCATTGATGTAATTTGCTCCAGAAATTAAAATAGGATGGGATTGGCAATTTTTTGTGGGGAAGGTGGTCAATTTCCTTGTTTGAGATCGAAGGTCGGTTTGCCCGCGATTTAAAACCTCTTAATCAAGAACACGATGCATACATGTAATGGAAAACAGGCTACACGTCATGCCTATTAAAAAATATTCGGAGAAGAAAACCAAAAGATCCCGGCGCAATTTTCACATATTTGCCAATTAGACACAAGAACAATGAAATTGTCATTATGCTAACTTGGGATCTTAGCTTGACCCACACGCAATAAATATTAAACGGCAAACAAAGGGGCATCAACACCTGACCGCCACGGAAATAGCCAATACACCTCACTACCAAAACTTGGGTCATGTTAAACGTGAGATAAAAGCCGACAAAAAAGTAAAGTGATTTTTGTATAACAAAAACTTACGTTTTCTTTTATTTTGTTTTAAATCATAACTATATTTTAACCTAAGGTTTTACTATCATTTTCCAGTGACAGCGGTGCGATTTGGTAGACGGCCCACTTGCAATTAGGTTCTTTGACGTCACCTCCTCGACATTATCTGCATTATTGCATGTTCTGGCGGAATTCTAATGTAAATCGGGCAAAATAGTTTTAACCTTGAGTCACTTGCCAACGAAATTGTGCGAAAATTTCAAATTCTTCAGGCCCAGTTTCATCTTCGGCAAGTCTACGCGACGAACAAACACTCGTTCAAGGGGTCATTAATTGATTGCTCGTGCATAAAATGACCGACAAAGTCAGCATTCTTATATTGTTAGCATTTTTTTATCGTTCAAATATTTATAATAAAAGATTATCCTTATAATATAAGAGAGGAAGATGCAGAAAGCAAAAATATAAAATAGTGCTGACATCGTTATATTAGTAAATTAGTAAACGTTTCATTTCATTTTCTTTAAAGCATTTAGTTATTTGACTTTAACTATTTACTTTGTCAAACGCAATGACTTTCCTTAACATATACGAGAATGTCAGGATTAACAATTATCGTAAATGACAGTCATTGAAACGCTCGCACCTTAAAAGATTAGCATTAGCGTCAAGAGAATTTCTTTTGAAATCTTCATTTCTTGTTATTTTTTAGAGATTAACGTAAATTATGGCAGATTTGAGATAAAACTCCAAACCACTAAGCTAACAAAAATTATACCTGTGAAAAAAAAAATCATCACCTCTGTCTCATACATGCTCATAAATCGTGCACTCTGCTAAAAAGTCTTTCAGAGTTTTTAAAATTTAAAATTTACGCGTGTTTCTTAGCGACCGGTTGTTTTATAATTTGTTGAAGTCGTGAAGAGCGGTCAAGAATGAAGTAGTTTAGAAAATCGCCTTTTTCATTTTTTTTTTGCTAACGATTCGCTCTTGATTCGGGTCATCTTCAGGGCATAAAGTGTGGGGCTATTCTTGTGTTGTCATATTGGTTCGAGATTAACGTAAATTAGGGCAACTTTGAGATAAAACTCCAAACCGCTGAGCTAACAAAAATTATACCTCTAAAAAAAATCATCGACCTGTCTCATATATACTCATAAATCGGGCACTCTGCTAAAACGTCTTTCAGAGTTTTTAAAATTTAAAATTTATGTGTGTTGTTTAGGTTGTTTCATATTTTGTTAAAGTCGTGAGGAAAAAAAATGAGGTAGTTTAGAAAAACATTTTTTTTCCCGACGATTCGCCCTTTATTTGGGTCATCTTCGGAGCATTGTGGAGCTATTCTTGTGTTGTCATATTGGTTTTGTGTGAAAAAAAATAACTTTTTAATTTTTTTTCCGACGATTCGCCCTTTATTCGGGTCATCTTCAGGCATAAAGTGTGGAACTATTCTTCTGTTGTCATATTGGTTTTGTGTGAAAAAAAAAACTTTTTCATTTTTTTTTCCGACGATTCGCCCTTTATTCGGGTCATCTTCGGAGCATAAAGTGTGGTGCTATTCTCGTGTTGTCATATTGGTTTTGTGTGCGAACCAATATGACACCACAAGAATAGCACCACACTTTATGCCCTGAAGATGACCCAAATAAAGGGCGAATCGTCGGCAAAAAAAATGAAAAATGTGTTTTTCTAAACTACATCATTCTTTACGCTCCTCACGACTTCAACAAATTATTTTAAAATTTATCGTCCACGATTCAGAAGTTTTCAGCTTATCATTTTTTTCATACGGAATCGCCGATCTCTCTCTCTCTCTCTCTCTCTCTCTCTCTCTCTCTCTTTAACAGTTAAATTATTGCCTATTGTGTCGATATGTCTGTGCCTTTTCTAATGGTTATAAAAATTTCTTCAATTTCACGCGGGAAACAAAACTATTTCGGTCAAAATTAACCATCGCTCTTTTAATGTTGACAATTGTTTACCGAAATTTTTAAACAATTTTAATATAACGTAATTATTATCATTTTCTATAGGTATCAAATTATTAAAGTGTATCGTGTAAATTAGTTTTTTCTAACAGTGATTAATCAGTCTATCTAGCCTATTTAGCGTATTTAAACGCACATCACTATTATTTGTGATTAATAATTTTTATGAAATTGTATTGAGTACATGCATGACTAAAAAATCCGCTTGCCGTGTAAAAGATAGTTTATTTTTTAAACGATAAATATGTAACATTCTGATCAAGTCAGCATCAGAAAGCGAAGGCGCCTTTTCTTTCAAATGTATATAATGTTACTTCTTAATCGGACAGAGTTGATTAAAAAGTTTAGACAAAATAAATTAGTTTTTACAAAGTATATGAAAGAAGAGGAAAAGATTCTTATAATCAACAACTATTTAAAACTCATTCTTTAAATTTGTTTTGCTCATAGAATTTCTCAAAACATTAATTTTGTTAGACTAGAAAAAAACACTAGAGGACCAAACCTTTGGAACGTTCAGCGTATCATTTTTTTAACCTGCCTTCACAAATGTTTATATAATGATCTTAGAACTAAAGCGGTACATACAGCAGAAGCCTGCACAAATCAAAAGTAGGTTACTAACCGAAAGATTTGCACACTCCAACCACTGAGTTGATACTGAATGTTCCCGAGTGTGGCATATAGGTGTGACCTTGCTCCACTATCACTCTTTCCGTCCTCCCTCGCCGTGTCCTGCGATCAACTTGCGGAAATTCAAATGACAATTATCGGCGATTGTATGTTTAATTAAATAATCTGATTCACTTTGAAAGCTAGTCGGCTGGGATTTTTGTTGCATTGGTCCACGAGGACTTCGTAACATTCTGATAAGATACTATGGAAAAACGAAAATATTTGTGCAGTACGTTCATATTTAATGACGCTTGAAAACTTTAACTGATAGTGTCAAATTTGGTTCAAAAATTGTATAGTTGTTATTTGCAGTTAAAATAAAATATATTCTGTTTTCAAATCTCAACGGACGAAGAAACGATTGAAATTTTTTACAACTACCAATCGATAAATTTCATCATTTTCGGATGGAATATGCAAGACGAACATTACAATTTATAAATATTGTAGCATGTGCTTAATTCTGAATCCTCGGGGAAAAAATGGATATGTCAAATTTTGGCAAAACGAGATAAGTATTTAGGACTGACAGACAGTAATCGATAAAGTCGAGAAGGAAACCATTTCCTTTTAAACCCAATGTGCCTTTTTAGACTGAGAAGTTACGTCAACATATCAATAATTCTACTTTATATATATAAATTCAAATAGCTGATATACCTATTTATGGCATATGAAATGTAAGCACAATAAAAAAGTTATTAAAAAAATTAAATTTGTACCAAAGGTCTAAACCTTAAAATCCTTGAAAGTTGTATTTTTGGACTTATCCAGTTTTGCCCTAAGGGTGCAAAATTATTGTCTTAGAATGGGATTTCAAATTTCTCCCCATTCATCCATATAAACTCATGGACAATATTAACGTACCACTGAATTTATTTAGTTTAAAATTAAATCCATTATACGTCTACGTTGGTTATAGGTAATAAGAAGCTATTTTAGTCAAATTAAACAGTAAATAATGCTTTCTTTACTATTGTAATGTTTCTAGAAAAAGTAGCATTATGTCCCACCATTCTGCTACGACTAAAGATCGCCAATAGACATTTNCCTCAAAACCGAAGGAAATTATATAATACAGTTACTGAGCTGCTTATTGTAGATGAAAAAGTTTGAAATCTATTGTAGCAAAATTCTCAAAATAATTTAAAAATTTCCTAGAGAGAAAAGAACCAAGAAATTTATATCTTTCGCTTCTTATATCTTCACAAAAGAAGAAGAGTTTCAAAATTATGTGTCTGACTGTTATAATAGTCCGTTACTTAGTTAAACTTTGAGAATGGCGAGTGATGAATTGTTGATTAACGAACCTTAAAATGTATTAAGAAATTTATACTCTTAATTATATTATTAAATTCACGTATCTTCAAAAGATTTGTCAAATTTACAATGTAGTGAGATTTCCTCATGGGGTCTGCGGATTTGAACACGTCATTTCAGTTCCTTTTGATCCGCCTAATCTCGCTTTCCAGGAACGACCCGACTACAATAACAATATAAGAATAAATATTTAATTATTCAGAAATCGTGAGATGCGGTCTGGTGTGATGTAGGTTTCAGAAAAAAAAATTTCTTTACCGGGCCAACGTTTCGATCTTTAATGAGATCATCTTCAGGGCTCAAAGTGTTTGTCTTCTGTTAATTGTGCCATTCTTTGGCCCTGTTTAATAATTATCGATTAACGGTCACTAATCACCACACAAAAATAAATATTTAATTGTGCAACTGAAAAAGCATATGATTGCAAGCATGGTATGGAATGAGAGTATGCGATTTATTTTTGCAATGGCATAAATCGTAAAATATGAAAAATAGATTCAGATTGATAATTAATTATTCTTGCATTTCGATTTATTTCATAGAGAAATCAGGTGTATTTTCGTAACATACGTTGTTACCTAATTATGAAACATATGAACCATATTTATTTTTAAGTTGTGTGTGAGTGTGTGTTTTTATACAGGATATTTTTTATTGTTTTTCCCTTTGCCATATATACTCAATCGTATTGATTTCCGGTTTTTCGAGATGGACAGACCGGGTTTTAATATGAAAACGACGAAGATTCCAACATCGACCGATTCGGCGAGCGGAAGCGAAATACCGACGACGGATGCGACCACCGAGGGATCGATTTTAGAAACCGATCTCCAATCGATAATAAACAAGCTGAGCCCTCTCTTGGGCCCTTTGCCGCCCGGCCAGTCTCGCAAAGTCAAGTACGAAAAGGGCGGAACGTCCGTCGAGATCAAAGTCCCCATCGAGGACAAAGAGAAATGCTTTTCCATGAAGGAAATCAAGCCGGAAGGGCAGGCCGAAAGGAAGGGAAGGGCTGCTCACGACGTCGATAAAAAGTACAAGCAGGTGGCGACGGACGTCTCGTCCTCTGAAAGCGTTCCGAAGACACCGCAGAGGTCGTCTTTGTACACGAGCGATGAGACGTCGATCGAGATGATGTCCAGCAAGACGGATGAGTCGAACAGTCTGACCCTGCCCAGGGTACCTTGTACCTCGAGCACCTGTATACCACCGCCATGCGAACCTCCTGAAGCCAACCCGGTTAAAAGGCACACGGATGCACAAGAAATGTTCGAACCGGATGCCAAAAAGACGTGCCCTTCCGCTACTAACTTGCCTTGTTCTCAAGGCCACCAAGACAATATTGGCAGGTACATCCTTCCCGTTTTATTTATATTGCGTTTTGATAATCCAGACAATATAAAGCTCAAATTTTAACGTTTGTTATTCGCAATTAAAAGTGATGTTCACATACTTATTGGGTTCGTCTATACTCGATGTGTTTTTGTTTCGGCTTTGCGTCAACTTGACTGAGGAACTGATTGTCGTTCATGCATTATATGCCATTAGTTGTCGCTAGAGGCGCTGCCGTAGGTTGCCGATCATCGATGATGCTGGTTAGTACCTTTGTCTGTTATTATGATTATAATCACTCAGAAATCATGAGATGCGTTCTGGTGACCGTGATAATTTCTGAGTACTTATCGATTAACGGTCTCTAATCACCACACATTATTATTATATTTTTTAATTTGTTTTCATCTGAACAGCGTTATTTGTTATATGTTGTTTTTAATGTGAAAAGTAGTGTGTGAATGTTAGATAGTTTGTGAATGTTAGGTATCAATTTGTAAGTTTATTTGTTTGAATAACTCTAACTACTCCATTAATTATTTGAAGATCGTGAGGTGCGGCCTGGTATGAGGTAGGTTTTTAGAAAAACATTTTCTTTATCGTGCCAACGTTTCGATCTTTATTGAGATCATCTTCAGGGCTCGAAGCGTTTGATTTCCGTGTAGATGTGTCATTCTTGTGTGTCGTGTTGAGAGTGCCTCTGCCAGAGAGTAGTACAGACAAGAATGACATCTACACGGAAAACAAACGCTTTGAGCCCTGAAGATGATCTCAATAAAGATCGAAACGTTGGCATGATAAAGAAAATGACTTTCTAAAAACCTACCTCATACCAGGCCGCGCCTCACGATCTCCAAATAATCATTGACTAACTGTCACTAAACACCACACACTACTCCAGTAAGTTAAATTTCGCCCTTTTTGTTCGTTGTGTATTAAAGTTATGCTGAATGTAAAAGTATGCTTATTCTACTGTGTTGGTTCGTGATTGTGATGTATTAATTGTGCGACATTTTGATTTCCCGTCGTTGTCTCTAAACGATTTCCTTTCAAAAGATTTTTAGTTTCTTTCCATTCTGTCCAATGTATTATATGTTTGTCTTTGCACGGACATGTGATGATAAAAACACAGTTAATGTCTAGCGGGTGAGTTCTGTCTATAGTTGTCTTTAATATTTACTTGCGTCCTTAGTACTGTATTATTCTTTGCAGTTGATTAAAAGTTTTAGTTTGCAATTTTTTTTGTACGTGAGTATTGCCAGCCTGTCGTTGTTATGTTGCATTTTTACGTAGTTTTTGAATATTTTATGAATGATATTTGTTTTGTATCCATTTTTTATTGCTATTTTTCTTATCGTTTGCAGTTCTGCGTTGGCAGTGTTTTTAGTCTGTGGGTCACGTGCCGTAGTGATGCAATTTTGTGTTCGTGTGGGTGGTTAGAATTTGCGTTCATGGCGTTGACAGTTACCATGGGGTATGTAAGGACTGAAGGCTCAAAGCCAAACCACATTTGAATAGTATAAAAAAATACCGCGAGTGTAGACGGACCCAATAACCCAGGCCCCATGAATCCGACTCGCAGACTGACGTCCGCCGTACTTTGAAAGTAAATTATTAAGCTTCGCCATTCTAACTGCTGGCCTGACAATCTTAGATTTTCGATGTATTGTCGATGTATTTGATTGTCGGTACTCCATTATTTCCATGAATAATGGTATTTTTGAAAACTTTGTTAATTTAAAAAAATAAATATTTGCATACTGATTACTTAAAAAAATAAGAGTAGAACAATACTTTAATTGTACAATTATAATAGTTTAATAGTTTACATGCCTGCTTACTTTTTTGGCCTTATATATAATAATATTGACGATAGTTTGATTGCAAAGCAAACAATAAAAGGTGCACGTTTAATAACGTTTTTGGAATGATATAAAGAAGTGTTATGTTCTTAAATAAAAGACTTAAATTTCAGGTACAGTTGCAACCATGGATCTCACGGTCATTCCAAGAGAAGTAAATACCATAAGTCTATAAGCAATGTTAACAACGCAGCAATAATTTTAAATGCTTTATTTAGGAATCAAATGGTGCAACTATCTCCCTAGCTTCCCTAGCGTTCCAGCGAGCCTCCCGAAGTCAAGCGAGCAGAAAAGCAAAGTCACATTCAAAAAATACGAATCTGACGACTCGGGGGTAACCATTCCGCAACTTTACAAAGCTCATGTCGGAACTGGATCTTATCCGAATGTAACTAGAAAACAGAATATAAAAAAAAAGTGAATGTCAATTTATAATAGACGGTATTTCTGTTTAGAGATTTACGTTTAGGGCTGTTACGGGAGCGCAGAACCGTTTCTCGGGGAGAGAGTACGACTTGTACCAAAAGAGCGGAGCCAGGCGATATCCGGCGGGAGACCCTTACGAGTCCCAGTTCCTGCTGGCCCCCCAGATGCAGCATTACCCTCGGCTCATCACGCAGCCACCCTTCGTGAAAGCTGGGCCGTGCTCCGCTCCAAGCCAGAGGGAGCCGAGCATGCAGGGAAACAAGCAAAACCCCACCTGCATTCACCGACCTGTCTTCGGCGTTCCTCCTCCTTCTTCATCCTACCCGGGCTGTCAGCCGGCGGTCACTCAAAGGATCTGCGACGACTGCCAGAAGGTGGACATGGGCCTGGACCCGAAGGCCATGGCCATGCCTGCACCCAATTCCGTCGATTACGAAGTCGACCCTGAAAAAGCGAGAGGTAAGTCGGCTTAACGGCTGAAAATGCAATCTCACCATACCCTTCTTCTTCGCATTCAAAACGATTGTAATTCAAAAATTAAAACATATGATTTATGTAGAGAACTGTTAGCTGATGTTACTAAAACTTGAAAATTGAAAAAGTAGTAGTATATTTTTCCCTAAAACGTAAACCTCTTCTACAAAAAAAAATCCTCTTCTTAACATATCTTTATAATGCTGTTCTAAGAACTACTCACTTTCTCTAAATATGATCCTAAAGCTGCCATAAACCTCAATCCAATCGCCCAAACCGCCTCTTATCTAGAGAAGGAAAAAATCTCGAGAATCACCTTCTGATAAGAATTCTTTCCATCTTAGATGAACAAAACATTATCCCATCTCACCGGTTTGACTTCGGTGACCATTCCACAGTCAACCAGTGCCATTGTTGTAGGCTCTTCCTTTCTTGACCTGCCAAAAAACCACTACTCGGGTACTTTTTTTCAAGTGGCTCAAGCCTTTGATAGGGTATGGCATGGGTGTTTGCTGAAGAACATCCTCCCTTCATACTTCATCCTCCGATCATACCTGATTGGCAGCTTCTTTCAGGTCAACCAGCTAACATCTTTCTCTAATCCTGTTTCTAATAACATAACTACTCCTGTTAAGGCTTAGTATCCGTATCTGTATTCTGTATTCAGCTTATACGACTGACCTCCCTACCCATCCCGACGCATTCACACTTTTCCAAACGGTCCTGCTACCCTACCGTCAAAACACGTTAATTATCGTAAAAAGGTGCAATTTCCTAACCATCGAGCAGGTTACAGTAAAGCTAGAGACCATAGCTGAAAACGAGAAAAATATTTTGCATGGTTCCCTCATTATAATAGGATAAACTAGAGGAAAACCCCCGGTACCTCCGGCTAGATGCGCAGCTGCTCTACCACTTGAGCTATCGTTGAAAAAGCTATTGAAAAATGACAAAAAGGCGGGAAAATTCAAAAGGTGAGGTTGAGATGGGAAGTTAGTGTCCGAGTGGATCGAGGTCACGACAGTTCAAGTGGTAGAGCAGCGGCGTATCTAGCAAAAAATCGTGGGTTCGAATCCCGCTCGTGACACTGACTTTTTTATCTCAACTAAAAACCTTAATTAATTGAATCTTAGACTGCTCGAGACTGGAATAAATGAACAACAAGTGAAGCTTTAAAAAATATAGCAGTTCTTACTGCTAGTCGGTCTTCTGAATTTCTAACCTGCCTTTATCGATGCCCAGAAGAATGCACATCGTCGCTAACAATATCTATTAGACTAAAAAAGCAGGTATTAACTACATATTACAAAACATTTTTGCGACTTCCGAACTGACACTTCACATCAAACAGAGCTGTGTAAGAAAAAAACCATTCGGACTTAAGACATCGTTTTGTTGCGTTTGGTGTGAGCTGCTATTTAAACAATAAATTCTGACAAATATCCTAAGCAGAAGGTGTTGAGGACACCCCTACCACCTTTGAATTAATGCCACCGTCATCAAGGTCCCAAATATTTGCTTTGGAAGTGCTGTAGAAACGCAAAGAATACTGCCTCATTCTAAAATCCTATTTATAGATCGTTAAATATGTTGTCCAATGTTCTTTTACTGCTTTAATTGATCCTACGAATCACTCCTTAATTGCTCAGTGTTCATTTGGAGAATCAGGGTTAATAAAAAAAATTCCACTCTACTCCTACCTCCAGTGGACTTATGTAAGCTGATATGCATCAATTAGAATAGACGACAAGTATGTCCAGATTGTAATCTGATATGCAGGAGTACCTCATCTTCTAGACAGCCGTTGCATACTAATAGAAAACATGAAAAGACAGCACTAATTGCTATGAAATATGCATAAGCAAGGTATGGACTATAGCTTTACGGGACGGTAAACCCAAACTCCTATATCTCCACTCGTACAAAAGTAAATATTTGGGGCCACAGCTCGATTGAACCTCTCTATGTCCCAGACCTAGTGCCACATCCAAAAATTTCAAATTTCAAGCCAAATTTTATTCAGCAATGTCCCAGCAATTAGATGGTCAGCTAACGTCCGTAACCCACGGGGGCCTTATTCTTTCTTTTCACGCGATGAAATATTTACATTACAGCATATTCGCTTATTATATATAGTTCATATATAACACAGAAACAGAAAGAGTTTGTTTTATGAGGTCATATGAACTCTCCGGGTGCCGCCGCATTTGTAAGTATGTCGGGTTCGAATGCAGGGCCGCTGGATTCGAACCCAGGACCTTACAGTGATGTGCGCCAAGTCAACGCCTAAACCGTTCCGTCCACTGTCGCATAGTCGATAGTCGTCTACCCATTTGTACAATATTTTTCCTAATAAGAAACCAAAATTCTAAGAACCAAATTAGCTAGTGGCATTTTATGTTTATGTGCTTTGTAGTAAAACTAAAATTAAAATGAGAGGTTTCTCCTGATGTGCTATGTATGAACTACTGTCCTGCTATTCCACGATGGTGTATAGCCATAAAAGAATGAGTGAAAGTTTAAAATCAGCAGGCAGATGGTTAATTTCTAGTAGAATAATTAACAAAAACGAATGAAGAATTATGTTATATGATTTGTTTTATCAAGGATCATTGCACTGGCTCACATGATCATTGCCCATGAGGTGTTAAATAATTCTGTGTTAAAGAAAGACCGACATTAAAGTACAAATAACTGATTTTTACACTCTTATGGGCGATTATTCCAGCTTTTCTCGGCGAAAAAGGAGAAGGTTATATATCAGTGAATACGATCCCTGAAAGAGTTGACGTTTACTGCTTCGATCAGTTAAATACTGGGTAATTAAAATATTAAAACGAATTTAGAATCAATTGTTAATAAAATTATATCTGTTCTTAGGTTTTTCCGTACGTCCGACCACCCGCCTCCGCTATTTTCCGATGTGGCTGTGGAGACGACGGAGGCGATAGCGACCCGTTTCTGGGCTGAAGTCTTCGGCATGGTGAACATCGTGATAGCATTCTTAGTCGCTATGGTCCTCCAATTCTTTAAGTTCTTACTCACGGCCATCGTCCGCCCTCTCATGATAGGTTTCGTCCAGCTCTTTTCAGACTACTTCATCAAACCCCTGTTGACGGTCATTTACAACGGTTTCACCCAGCCTGTCTCCGTCTGCTTCTACAACGTCGTCGCCTCCATACGCGACATCGTCAACCCCATCGCCAAAGCATTCGGATTTTTCATCGAGCCGTTCGCGAACATCGTCAAGTCCTTTCGTCTGGTGGAGATCAAGCACGTTTACTCCAATCCCGGACAGGCCGGTCCGGCCGCCGTCCCTCTCGTTCCTCGTGCCCCTTCGACAATCAAGATCCAATAGGGTAGTCTCGAATCGTGTAGGAAAAGAACAATCCCGTAAAGGAGGGTTTCTGGAAATAAAACTCAGATTGATGATAGCCTGTCTTATTGATATCAGATATATATTTACATAGTTGTATTTATTATTAAGATTTAAAAATTGCGCTAACTTCCCGAATATCAAAAAAATAATGTACAGTGCATTCCTGATCGACCTACTCTTATTATGGTTACTTAATTGTATTTCAACGAAGTGGGTTAATTGATGCTGGAGGCTGACTCAGGTTATACTGGAGATTGTGGTTTTTTGACGAACTGGTTCTAGCCTACTAGTTAACCGCAGTTTGTTCGTTGGTTAATGTTTGTTTAATATGCATTTGAACTGTGCTTTTATTAGTCACCTTGAGTAATAAAAGTTCAGTTCAAACTTCAATATTGATCTTATCTTTTTAATGAATATTAAAAAGAACATCGGAAAGATGCAGCGACAACATACACAAACTTCTTGATGAACACATCAACTAATCGGATCATCTTGTTTGATATGTTAATTAACATATACATATTTTTTATCGATATAGGATAGATTTGTCATAAAGTAACTTTGGTTTTGAACTGCGATTTTAACTATGAGCCTCGATCATGCGTATGTCCTCGCGATATCGTGGAGAGAGGTCACCGTGCCGGCCAATAGGGCGAAAACCGCCAACAGGACCAAAAGAGCGTCCTTAAAGAGTTTCCATCTCAGGAAGCCGTAGCCGGTATCCCAGAGGAGGAGGATGTCAATAACAGCCGGAAAAAACACGCCGCACATGGAAAGGCCAAAGGCGCCGATCAGGGAGATAACAGGGCCGAGGTTCGGTATGGCGACAGCGACCAAAACTGAAATTGAAACGAATTTCACGCAGAAAATATTATCAACGAATCGAGTTCATAATAGGTTTGTCGTACCTGTCCCCACGATCATTGCAGATCTTACGATAAAATAGGCCGTTGTTTTCTTTTCGGTCGAAAATTTCCCTTCCAGCCTTCTCCAGACTATGCTGACTGAAGCTGTCAGTTGCAGCCCGTAAGTAAAAAATACAGCTATCGCTACTAGTGCCTTAACCCATTCTGACAACCTAAAATTAACGACTTCGAAATTAATTACATATCTTTTTTCAAAAACACCGACATCCAGAGGGTTGATATGACGTTGCGAACCCTCGTAAAAAAATAAGTAAATAAAAACAAACAAAAATTAAAAAATTATATTGTATTTTCCTAAAGGAAAACTTATGCAAAATAAATCTTCCATTGTAAAATAAAACTTTATACACGGATAGAAAGGTTATTCTAAATGGTAGTATGTATAAATAAAACTCAATTAGCAGTTTTGTTTCTCAGGTCAAGGTTGAAGAGGTTGTATAGTTCGGTTGTTTCCGACTTTATCAAACCTGGTTTAAAGCAAAATATGATCTTTTTACATTATTTTTTTCCAAAAGAGCGCAGTTCTAAGCGAATTTTTACTCCCGTTGACGTAAAAGTTAATTAACACATCTTCCCCCCATCCTTTTGTGCACAACATTTTATATGCATTGCATGTCCAGCAGTACCTGAATGGTTATGAATGAAGAAGCGGATAAAAACACAAAACTGACGATAGAACATGGCATTCAGGCTTTACTCCCCATGAGAATTTCATGTCTCACTTGAAAGAAATGATATGGCTAGCGTGGCAACGAGTTTGATATGAAAATATTGGAAATAGAAATGCTAAAAAGAGAGAGGTTAAACCCCAAGTCAAATCTTCGGGTTCTTCTTTTTGATCCTCAAGGCATGAAGAGGCCATTCTAACTCGTTTAAGAAGAGGACACATAGCCATCTCGTGGCCAAGGACGATCCTTTTACCTGGGTAGTGTGTAACGTGCCTTTAGTGACTGGGAGTTTAGTGAACCTGAAAAGGGCCGGTGTTGTTTCGTAGCGTCGAGACGGTGGATATAGGCCGAGACCGTGAGCGTGGTGCCGTTAGTGGTCTGTGACCAAGTAAACCGTTGACTCAACGGAGGCCGAAGGTACTCGAGTGCAGCAATTAGCCGAGAGCAGCAGTTGGCGTTTATAGCCAAGTCGGCTGTGTTGAGAAAGCAAGAATCAGGCTAATGCTGTAAGTACCCTTGATGTCGTCGTCATCGATGTCGGCGTTCCTTAGAGATTTGTGAGAGCTCGTTGAGGAGATTGAGGACGACGAGTGTGGATGGACTGGAAAAGAAAGCAAGCTAGGAAATACTGTGCACGGAAGGAGGGGAATAGCCAGGAAAGTTGGGAATACAACCCCGACACCCGGGATCCCCGTGGGGTGCCGTACACAAATCTTACGCGACAATTCAAAATACGCTTCAATCGCGCGTTCTCCCCCTCCGAGAGACCACCGTATGCCAAACAGCTACAATCGAAGAAGGGAAGTATAAGGGAAGATACAAGGAGTTGGCGGGTGGAGAAAGGTAAGAGAAGCGAGGACCGACGAAACAGGCTGAGGGAGGCAATGGAATGGCGTGAAATTTGGGAAATGTGAGAATGCCAGGAAAAGTTTTGGTCAAAGACTACTCCTAGGTTTTTAACCGAAGAGCAGAAGGGGATGGGATGGTTATTTAGCATGAGAGGTGGGATGCTGGGGAGGGAATTGAGGAGTTGCCTGAACCCGATAATTATGGCGGTGGATTTGGACGGATTGAGGACTAGGGAATTTTTATGGGCCCATTCGTTGATGGAGTTTAGGTCTTTTTGGATCTTGAGAGTGGCCGAGTGAAGATCGGAAGGGTGGAAGGATATGTATATTTGGGAGTCATCGGCATATAGGTGATAGTTACAGGACTGGATGGAGTCGGGCAGATCATTGATATAAATGGAAAAAAGGATAGGAGAGATGCTAGAGCCTTGGGGCACCCCAGATTTTAGAGGGAGGAAGGAGGAGGTAAGGCCATTGGGAAGGGAGACAGCTTGGTGGCGATTGGTAAGGTAGGAGTGGAACCAACGGATGGTGCTGGCGGAGAAGGAAAAAGATTCGAGTTTAGAGAGGAGAGAAGAGTGAGGGACAGAATCGAAGGCTTTAGAAAAATCAAGAAGGACAAGTATAGTAACTTTCCGTCGGTCCATTGCTAAGTGGAGGTCACTGGTAATTTTTATTAGTGCTGATTGGGTGGAATAACCTTGGGGAAGCCAGATTGGATGGGGTTGAGAAGATGGGACTGTTTAAGGTGCCTGCCAGACGAGTGCTGTCGTTGTTGATTAGTCATGGGTGAGATGTCGTTGGGTTGACGAGTCTTGAGTACAACTGAGACCTCGTCGGGTTGACGTGCCTGAAGTCTGCAGGCAGTGCCCCTGCTTATATTCGGAAGGGCTCTACTCTGATTGGCTGCGTAGTGGAGGGCGAAAACATTCCATAAGTGGTAGTGGCATCTAAGTGGTAACTATATGTGGCTACTGGTGCCCATTACTGTGAAACATATTCTCAAAGCCTGCAGAGCATAAGAAAATAGGAAAAGTTATAATATGCCACACTGTCTCTCAGGCTGATAACATTTCGAAAGAAAACTCATCTATTTTCAAAAATATAAATTCGAAATCTAACCATAAGAGTGACATCATGCCAGACTTTCATGGTGTAACTAACCCTTATGTCGGTTGACGCCTTTATATATAAAATAAATTAAAATAAGTTAAGTTCACCGGTTAGAACACCTTCAAAAGGAACATATAAACTTTTTTAATTAAATAAGAAAACATGAGGATATACCCTTCGCCAGGAAGATTGAGGGTAATGCTGCCGGTGGTCTCCTCTCCGAACTTCAAGTACCCGAAGAACCCGACGGTCACGTAAAGCACAACGACGATGGTCATGGCAATCGTCAGGACACCCGGGCATCCCACAAAGTGTTTCGGATTCCTCATTGAATTTTCTATGGGCAGCATCTAAAATAACAATAAAGCTCATGGTCTAATAGATTGTGTTTTTTTTTTCATTCTGCTTACCGTTCCTATCCCTTCCAATCCGAAGAGCACTGTGCAGACGAAGACGGGTATCCTGCTGATCGGCGCGATGTAGGGCCGGCTGTCCAAAGGTGGCATATCTGTGACGAGGAAATGGAATATCAGGGCCAATCCGACTGTCAGCAGAATATTGGCGATGAAGGAAAACGGGGCCAGGTATTTCATGCTCTTGACAATGCCGACGAAATATATCGGGATCCCGATAATTATTATGTATATCCTTATGTCCAGGTTCAGATCAAAGTGGTTCTCGATAATCTGAAAAGTTTTCAATAGAACTTAAAGACTTCAACTTTTCCTAAAAGAAGAGATCGAGGATTCAGGGAACTCAAAAGTACATACGCGTTTTGAGATCCCTCATTGTCCTTATCATATTACCTCCTTGTACGATTGAGCAACTAGGATTATATATGCACTGTTAGTTCCGTAATACGTGAAAAATATAAAAACATCAACCGATATCCTGAAACAAATTAATATTTTTAGTTTTCTTATACAAATTAATGATTGGCAATAAGTTCATTCTGCTTATGATTAGTTATTAGTAGGTAAGAGGTTTCTGTCAGTTTAATCGTTTAATTAACTGAAAAGAATCGTAAGTAATAAAACACATAACTAATGTGATTTTAAAAAAATCATCAGAAGAACTAAAGATTAATTTGATAAATGCAAAGTCATATACCGAATCATAACAGTGTGTTTCCTTTTTGGGATGGGCGGAATGATGAACCTGTTTTTTGGTCGTTTCGTCGTTGTTTCGGTCCGTTAGACGTTTCAGCTTTGCCTCGTTTTCGGTCGTGGGTATGACGGCGATAAGCTAGTAGACAAACCAACTAGGATAATCAGACCAAAATGATCATAAATGATCATATTATAGCTATAATTTATCTTTTTGCTCCGCCTGGTGCCAAGAAAATTTGAACAGGGATCTATGAGTTGCTAAGACTCAAATGACCAGCAATAGTGTTTGTAACAAATGTCATTCTACGACATGCTTTTCTTGTTTTCAATTTATTTAAGTACGTATTTACAACATCTTCATATTCCAGTTTTCCTCTAAATCCTACACAAATATACGACTGTGGTAAAGAATAAAATGTTTTAAATGCCTAGTTTTTTGTATTATTTAGTTTGTACTAATTTTTCAGTACAGCAGGCATTGTACATTTTATGAGGAGGATGAAAAGGCATCGAAGAAAAAGACTCGAGTGGGTAATTATAAAACGGCATTATAAAAATTGTTTAGTGTTTAATTTGCTTGCATATTTATGGCACGTTCTCTTCTCTAAAAGTGGAAAAATGGTAAAATATAAAATCCCGCTTCTGGGAGTTCAGAGGTTCGTGGCACCATCCTCCTCTTCCATAAGTCTCGGTGCCCTCTACAGGACTGCTTACAAATTGGATTACTTTGCGTTTCAACTTGATTTCCGCTGCTGTGTATTTTATTTAACGTGAATATGTATATTAATTCGTTCGTCAAATACCTATCATTCCGAATTATTGGTAGTTTTTGGAAGAATAGTAAACATAACACACTGCACCTTGTAATCTATTAGTTTCTGTTAATTGTGAGTATTATGTACCTGTTGTCAAGATTGGCCTTGATTTGGTCAACTTGACGACTGACAAGGCCAATTGAAAGTCAGTTTGACATCGTATATCTCTGCAATGTCATAACACATAAAAAATGACCTTTTTACACTTTCTTTGCCTTTTCACCTTTTGAATTTTCCCTCCTTTTTGCCGTTTTTCAGGAAAAATTCAAAAGGTGGGGTTGACATGGAAAGTAAGTGTCCGAGTGGATCGAGGTCACGATAGCTCAAGTGGTAGAGCAGCGGCGTATCTAGCCGAAGATCGTGGGTTCGAATCCCGCTCGTGCCATTGCCTTTTTTATCTCAACTAAAAACCTTAATTAACTGTAATATATTAATTGGTCAAGCGGACCACGAAATTAGTGAAGGTAAAGGAAGCAGAGCGATCATAACTGCGCTGCAACAGGAAGGAAAAGGATCCTGGAAAATCCCTTGGAATAATCCGACCGTTTATTAAATTTTAGTGGCTGGGAGTTTTTTGGTGGCCGGTGTTGTTCGGAAGCGTGGCGTTGAGACCGTGTATCGAGGCCGGGACCGTGTGTTCTGCTTGTAGACAGAGCAGAGAGCAGTTGGCTGAGCTCCGGAGCCGTCAGTCGGCTGACTTCATCGGTTGAATGGACTCCAGCGCAGCGGTTTGCCTGTAGCCAAGCCGGCTATGTTGAGAAGGAGAGTTCGAGGCTAACGCTGAGAGTACCCTGCCATCGACGTAAGTGCTTCATTAGTGATAAGCCAGAACCCGTCGGATTGACGAGTCTGCTATAGTTGTTGATTAGTGATTGGTGAAACCTCGTCGGGCTGACCAGTCTGAGGGTATGAGTGAGACCACGTCGGGTTTACGAGTCTGGAGGTATGGTGAGACCTTGTATGGTTGAGGAGTCTGAAGCCAGTGGGGCAGTGAGTGCCCCTGCTTATATACGCATTGGATCTGCTCTGATTCGCTGCAGAATGGAGGGCGAGACCATGCCAGAACCGGTAGAGGCACCTAATGGGTAACGTGGTAACCGTAGGTTCCCACTACAAAAGTAACGAAAATCTTGCAGTATAGTAGAGTTCGAATATACTAGAGAATGTTTAACTGCAAGAACACACAATCCTAACGACTCCCACCCACAAAAAAAACAAAACCTTAGAAAATACGTTTGGAACTTTTGAAACTATCAAGAAACAGCTAAAAGAATATGATCTGCTGATCGGTAATTGAAATGTTACTATTGGGAAATATGCTAAATATTAAAAACACCCTTTTTCGATGAAAAAATATAATTTTCTTGTCCTACATTTATCAAATATGAGGTGAATATATATTTGTTATAGAATGTACTGGTCAAGTTGATCTGATTTACAGTTGATTTGTTAATGATTATTTAGAGATCGTGTGATGTAGTCTGGTGTGACGTGGGTTTAGAAAAACATTTTCTATATCGTACCACGTTTCGATCTTTATTGACATCGTCTTCAGTGGCCACAACGATGACACATCTACACAGAAAAACACACTTTGAGTGAATACAGATACTTTGATTAAACCTAAAATTTCTATTTTGTGAACATCATTGTACAAATTCATTTTCACATCCTACATGTATTTGTATAATTTAAACAATGTCTATAAATCCTAGGCCCTGAAGATGATCTCAATAAAGATCGAAACGTTGGCAAGATAAAGAAAATGATTTTCTAAACCCACATTAGACCAGACCGCTTCTCACGATCTCTAAATCATCAGAAATTATAGTTGCATAATCCTGAAGGAGAGAATGTATTGCTCGATAAATCGACTGTTTTTTTTCCTGAGATTTCTTTCTAATTTGTCTCAAGAATGAAAAACTCGTTGGTCAAACTCAGCATATTTGGAAAATAATCCTTCATAACTTCATCAAAATTAATTATATACACAATGTATGAGAAATACGCACGAAAATGACAATCCAAAGCAAAATATTACGTTTATAGACCAGGTAGAAGTGGGAAATAAGCATAAATTAGTTGTATCGAAATACCCCAGGGTACAAGTACACCCATTAATATAGAAAGGAAGAAAACCATTATCATATTTTCTCAATACCATCCAATTCAAATAATTCAAAATCAAATAAGAAAAGTTAGAATCGTTTCTTTGCATTTGTAATGAGGAAAACGTTAAACGGTTTTCAATCGAATAAAAACAGTTTAGGCTCGGTCACTTCTAAACAATTATAACATGGACATGAACTGATCGTACAAATTATTTCCAATTACCTTACACATTAAATATTTCAAAAATTTGTGAAGTTTATACTAATGTTGCTGTTGGGTTAGAGCGGGGAACACACCCGATGCAACGTCATAAGACGCTACCCGATGCTACCCGACGTCTTGTCACGTGTTGGTAGGGTGTGCACATCTTTGGGACGTCAAGCGCACGCCACGTATAGTCACACAGCGTATATCACAATCGCAACGTCTCTTTTGTTCTTAATACATTATTTTGAGCAAAACCATGAAATAAATTGTTAGTTAAATTTTTTGAGCAAAAATTGGCCAGTTATGGTTACAACAACCGTACACATTGATAAATGCCTAGCACAGACCCATAAGTTACCCAGATTCCTAATGTACTTGTAAGGGAACTTGCGCTAGATGGAAACTTATTTAATATGTGTGTGGTGTTTAGTGACTCTTACTTAATGATTATTTGGAGGTTGTGACGTAGGTTTTAGAAAACATTTTCTTTATCGTGCCAACGTTTCGATCTTTACTGAGATCATCTTCAGGGATTGTCTGTCCCATTTTCAGGCCGAGGCGCACTCTCAACACGACAGACAAGAATGACACATCTATACGGAAAACAAACACTTTGAGCCCTGAAGATGATCTCAATAAAGATCGAAACGTTGGCACGACAAAGAAAATGTTTTTTGCTAAAACCTACGTCACACCAGACCGCATCTCACAACCTCCAAATAGTTATTTAGTATATCTAAGGGTGCCAGAAATTCTTCTGTCCCGTATGTTTGCTGTTTTTAAAAAATTAGATGTGAGTTGCTTCCTCTCAATATATAATCCAATATAATCCAACAAGGTCGTAGGTTCTAAAAAAAGGTTAGGTTAAAAAGGTTTAGGTTCTAAAAAAACTAAAAAAAGGTGGATTTTATTGGTTTTTTAGACTTATATGAGGTAACCTTTCTCGACCACGTTTTTTAACTTTATTTTTACTGTAATTTTAGCTATAATTTTTAATTGTTAATGTATTCCATTTAAATTAATATTTAGATGCTGAGCCGAAAAAAACATAATGTACTTCTGTGCCCAAAACACCATGTTGTTTAATTTCCTATTAAGGTTTTAAAGTAAGATATCCAATTATTGTTGTAATTATTGTTTTTTCATGTTTTAATTGTTTGTTTATATGATAATAAAACAGGCCCTGAAGATGACAGTATAAAACTGTCAAAAGCTCGGCGAAAACCGTAAGGAAGTTTTCTCTGTTTGACCTCTTCCGAAGATCCTCTGAAAAGACTTCTTATGAAATAAATTGTTAATTCAATTTTTGAGCAAAACCGTGTAATAAATTGTTCCAATTTTAGTATATTTACCGCCGAAGCGAGTACAATAAATTGTTAGTTAAATTCATTATATCAAAAAATCGTATTCCGTTGTTTTGATTAATGTTCTGCCAAACCATTAAAATTAATTTTTTAAATAAAAACTAATTAATTTTTAATCACAGATGTAGTTTGAATAAAAATATGAGTGTCCGGTTCTTTTGTCTTCGCCTGTACTCGATGCGACCCGAGGAAAATCTGGACAGTGGGGATCGCAGAGCGTCGGGTAGGTTAGCGTGGCAGTGGCATAGCATCGGGTAGATGTGCAAGGGGGTAATGCAACCTTATGGAAAATCGGAGTTTGGATTTGCGTCGGGTAGCATCGGGTAAGTGTGTTTCGGGCTTAAGACTATCTTATAGAAAAATGGACATTGGATTAGCATCGGATAGCGTCGCATGGCGTTGCATCGGGGAAGTGTGTTCCCCTCTTTAATTTGAAATTCAGTGATTGTTAGAACACTATGAATATCGATCATCCTTATTTTGCTGTATTTAGCATGGTTTTCATACTTAGCAATTTTGGTCAATCTCCTGTACTGTTTGTTAGCGCAGTTTTCAAAGACGGCCTCGATCGTCTCCGAATAGCTGAGAAACGGTTTACCAAGTCGTTTGCACATTTCTTGCGAGGTTCGCACCTTGAAAAAAAAAATATAGAGGAAGAAAATCCAGACTGACGAGATAAACATCTATGGACATTCTTACCATCAAACAAGTGCAGTGAGCGCATAAAAATCCGATGATGGCCGTGCCGAAGAGGCCAAGCACAATACCTCCGTTCTTGAAGCCGTTCGGTATCGCGAGAATTCCAGTTCCCAAACTGCTTTTCAGGACGTGTAAAAGACTGACAAAATCACTATAACAACAATGTTACAAATTCTTCCTTTCTTGACTAAACGTTCGAATATCTTACGAAATATTACGCTTGTCATTTTCGGCCGTTTCCGCAACATTTTCTTTTGGCAGGTCATAACAAATCACCCTGCAATGCAACGATATCTGTAATAGAACTGATTAAACGGTGTCGAGTAGGTTTTTACGAAACCACGAATTTTGAGCAATTTAACCTGAGGCAATTCTATAATTCGCCTGGATCAATAGGATTAAAAAGAACATATGATGGGCGAGATCTGTTATGTGTGTCAAAGGATATTCACAGTCAAGCCGTTGTACTAACAAAAGATTAACTTTAATTGCTTAATGAACCAATAAAAACATTTACTACGTGTTAAAAAAAAATAACACCTTGCTTCTTAAATTGCATTGCTATTCCTAACAAGCGCTTAACATGAGAAAATATCATCAAATATCATATAAAGCCCATGCTATTATTTTTCTTTGACAAAAAGATGGTAAGCTGATTCTCATGGTAAGCCATGTTGTATTAAACACTCGGTGAACTACAATTAAACAAATCAGTTTAAATGAGTTTTTATAAATCACACACAAGGCTCACCCATTGATACCTTACACATCAGACTTCAGGAAACATAATTAGCTATCATCGTTTCCCAACCAATGGGATTAAGCTCCAAAGGGAGCTTTCGAAATTTAGGTCATTTCAGCCCCCAACGAGCAAGCTATAATCCAGCCTAAAACTAACATCCATAATACAGTGGCGCAAATAAATACATTCACACTTATGTGCATTGCACCAATTCTGATTAGTCGGTGGAATACTCGATTTCGGGTGCGTCGGTGGCCGCAACGGTTTAGGCGTTGACACGGCGCTCATCACTGTAAGGTAAAGGTCCCGGGTTCGAATCCAGCGCCTTGCATTCTTACAAATGGGCTTTTTCTCAAAAACACCGGCACCCTGAGGGTTTATATGACCTCTGCTGTTGCGAACCCTCGTTAAAAAAATAAACTTAAAAAAAATCGATGGAATACTTTCATAAATATAGCTTTTCTCAGGTCGTTATAATCAGATTTTTCCTTTTAATTGCATTTGTGCTGCCACAGAGAATTCACACTAATTTGAAAAATCTAACTTACGTGAACGAATTTTCGACATTTTTTATGTCCCTGCCGTTTGTCGTTTTCTCCATGGCCTTTTTATTTCCCTGTCGGGTCTGGAAGTGAATATTTTAAATTATTTCTACTTCGAAATTTCTTTTTTGTTATGAATATCTATGTTAACTTGGCCGAGGCTACCACTTGGTTCAAACAACGTGACATAGCGAGGAACCCGACGCCAACTGAACGGTTTGACGTATTCATCCCAGAGAAAGCCGATAAGGGTAGGTGAATTCACATTTGAGAGAGCACGTTGAAGGTCAGAATAAAGAATAATAAAATAAATTTGGATAAAGAAATTTGTGTCAAATTGAAAATGAACACATATTGTTATGTACATTGACAATCGAACAGATTAATGGCACATAAACGCGTTTAGTCTACCCTGACTTCATCGTAGCATCTAAATTCAAAAAATTTGGCCCGCCAATAGGCCAGATCGCGCTATTATGAGTTAATACACAATATCAAACCTTCTACTAAAAAACTGAAATTTTGGGTAAAGTTTTATCTTTAGGTAACAATATTAGGGATAAATCAATTTTTAATATATTTTAATTTTGAGCCCACAATTTAACAATTAAAAAAATACATTATTACAATTTGTTTACTCTTAAATTTTTTCTGGAATAAAATTTATTCCAATAATAGAATTTATTCCAGAAAAAATTTAACTTAGGTATCTCAAAATAAAGGGCTTATTTAGTACATAGTAATTTTTGCAATTTGTTATTTAATTTCTTTCATAATAAATTTTAATGATTGTCATTTATAAACACTCAAAAATATCCCCGAGTTCCACCGAGTTTTTTATCACATTTTGTAGGTGACATCTAAAACTATGTTTCAAAATCTCGACCAGCTTTAAGATTTAATGAAAATATTTTTTTTTTAACAACTGCTAATAATTAACGTTCATACAAGCCAATCCTCCTCTGTTTACTTTTACAGTTTTATTATTTCTTCGATATGTTGTATAATAAACGGCTGTGGACATTTTGCCACAGGTATCATTTGAGTTTTGAGAAAACGGGTCATAAACTTTTTTTTTTGGGGGGGGGGGATTTGATTGAGTTTCTTCCTCCATTGCGATCTAAATAGGTCTATCGTGGAACCCCTATGGCTCATACCTTGGAAAGTGCGCTATTCCTTATAAAATTGAGCACTTTCCTTGGTGCGCCTTCATGGATCTTTTTGGGTATGACGAATATCCCATCGAAATGGCTGTACCGTAAACGGGCTTTACATTCGGAAAGGAAATGTGACGATGTCTCTGGCTCCTCCTGATAGATCAGGCATGTTTTCGTTCCAGCCTTGTCCATCTTCTTAAGGTGGATAGTTAAGAGGACAGTGGCCGATATAGAGGCTTATAAACCTCCTCAAATCCTATCTGCTGAGACAGAGGTCTTATTTTGTCTTCCGTTTTGAAATGGTTATAAATCTCTTAGCTGTATAAAGCTCTCTTGTCTCATATGTGGAGTGTTTGAATTTTTCTGTCTCAATCCATTTTTCTATTCCAACTTAAGCACACATTCCGGGGTACCTAGTTCTGATGGGTGAGAGGGTTGCCCTTTTTTGGGTATTTGGTTTGCTGTTCATTTCCTTCTATTCCGGGAACCAACTTTCCCGTTGGGAACCAAAGTTTTCTTGTTTTGCTTTCCCAGTCATTAGGCAGTTTTGGCATTCCCAGACAAGTTTGAAGTTGATAGCATACGCATTTAGTGCCTTTATGGCTGCCTGGCTGTCTGAGAGTATGTATATCAGTGCACCTTTTATATTTTTTATTTGCTCGCGTGCACATAGTTGTAATCCATGAACTTTAGTTTGGAAAATCGTTGGGGTTAGTTCAAGGGGCTTCGCTAGGGGGTAATTCGGCCCTTTTAACCCTATGCCCACTACCTGTTCCATTTTATCCATCTGTGTACTATATGTACTATAAAGGGGGGTACTATAATATAATAATAACTATATTATTGAAACTTGGGTCCAGCTTTCTTCCAAAAGTCTCTATCGCCTATCCCTATGTCCACTTGGAAGGGTCTGTCAAAGTTGAGCTTTTCTCCCATTTTGTCAGACACCATTGTAGCCATCTCAATTATTTTAATTCTTTGTAGAATTTTGTGGTGACTATTCTTTAGATCTGGTTTATTTCCTTATATCTAAGGAGTCTGTTGAAGCTCAAAAGCCACCTTTTTTACCTAAACATGTAAGGGTGGGAGATTGAGTGCAATTTCCATTGCTGTAGTGGAGCAGGTTGCATTGCCCTGTAGTTCACAAACAGCAATTTCCCCAAATGGATAACCATGCTTATGGATCTCCTTAATGATTGTTGTTTAATTCAATTCTCAATAAGACTGAGTTCCACTGAGCTTTTTTATCATTATCTAGATCTAATTATTTTAAAAAATCTCATTTATAACCACCGCTAACCGCTAATTAGTTGAATATTGAATCAATTCTTAGGGGGGGGGAGATCTGGGAGAAATTTTATTTTACCGTAGCTGGTCCAAGATGTCTCCTTCATAATTTGCTAAAAAGCTCGGTGAAATCCTATAAACAAATCAAAATGATTTTCTATTCCAATGAATTTAAATAATAATAATAAAAACTGCATTCTCTAGGGAAACAAATTATTTCCTCTTGGCGTCTATGATTTTTCTGTTTTTCCATTATTTATATAAATGTAACAAAGGTTGGTTTACACAACAATCAGAATTTACTTCACTATGAATTGATCAAAGAAGTACTTGTATTGAAGTACTTAGCTATTTCCGTTTATTTTCATAATATTTACTTAAAATTTTGATAAATTCTTTGAGAAAACAAGCTAACCCCAAACAATCACGAACCTAGTAATATGCCAAATCCTTTCAATGCTCAATATTCGTGTGCACAAAATTGTAAGTTTATTATTTATTTGAAGCTTCATTTGTACTCAATTACATTACATGTTGTTAAATTGTAAAAAGAAACAACTATTAAACATAGAGAAGTAACGTGGCAGAAGAACACCACATAAAAAAAAAGAACAACTTTTATTAGTTTTTTTCATGGTCATTTTTTTCTTTTTCTAGTAAATCATAATTTTTTGTATTAATGTACTAAATATGTACAAAATAGTTGAAGAGAAATAATTTTAATAAAATTAAAAAAATATTCAAAATAAATAAACGTAAAAAATTGGTAAAAGTACAGGATATGAATATTATATATTTTATCTATGCCTCTGAGATTTGGGTTTGGCTAGTTTTGAATGGTTTATGGTTATCCGCAGGTTATTTGATAACTGTGGTCACTTTACATCCATATCTTTCTTGAGCGCTGGGTTATGAAACTTAAAATGAGATTTTGGGTGGTTTTAATTTTTCACTTGGCACCAAGGACTGAACCACTGTAAAGTCTCATAGGCCAAATCAGTGAATAGACTTCTTTGCAGAAGATGCTTAATAATATGCCTCAATTTTATTGCAGACATTAGTAATAAAGCTTTTATGTGCTCATTCCTGTAAGTCTCTTGTCGAGACACACAATTTAGGTTGTAGAAGTAACTGATATTTATTCAGGATGATGGTACAGTCTCATACATTATTACGTACACACTAGGGCTGATTTTGTAAGATTTAATTGGTTCCTAATTTTTTTGGCACCATATTTTGCTTTACTAAATGGCTTAAGCACTGAGATAAATCAAGAAAGATAACCAATATGACATGTTCGCTTAAATCAATGCACATCTTGTACAATAAGTGCTTATTGATATGATTTCAATAATTGTATTCGTTTTTGTTTTCTATTCCATTTAGTTTAATCAATAATTAAGCATTTCTATTAGATATAAAAAATTGCCAGGTTGTAGGATATTTTGAAACGTAGAAGGAAGGTTGTCCTGTTTACTGTGCTATCAATTACTTTTACCTTTTTTAGTACATCTAATTGTATATTTATTTCCTTGTAGTTCATGTGACATAAATATAACATTTCTTCTATGGTAATAGGAGAAATAAAAATAGTTGAAATTAGATTTATAAAGAGATTTATAAATTGTTAAAAAGATTCAGGATTTTTTTCTAATAATTACAGAGGGTAGGACATGAATTAATTAAACATAGCATTTACAATTAACTGTTTATTAAATTTTCTTTACTGCACTGTTTATCACAATTTGCCGATATTTCACGAACTCAATAATATATAAATATATATATTTTTAACAAAAAACATTCTACAAATTGTGTTTATTTACATGTTTGACATATGTACATGTAGAAAGAGATTATCTTATTTACAATTTAATTTAAAACCTAAAAATCTGGGATGGTAGTACTTTTGGTCAATTGGAATACTCTTACTATACAATCAATTCAATAAAATAAAAAATACAAATAGAAAAATTAAATAAAATAAGTAACTTGATAATGTGGTAACTAAATATTTATAAGTACATCATAATCTACTTGACCCTTTAAAAGAAAAATAAATTAAAATTATTTTTAATTTTAAGAAAGAAGTGAAAATGTTAAATTAATTAAAATATACAATAATATTTAAATCTAAGCTTCTATTCTATTATTATAATATCACAGAGTAAATTAAAATCTGGTAAGATGGCCGAACCTCCACTAAAATTGTAACAATCAAATTGAGATTTAAATTCACATAGAGTGAACATTTTAATAGAGGAAAAGAAATTGAAGGGAAAAAAATAGTGGGAGATAGGTAGAGGAAAATTATCCTAATCACATTTTGCATGAATCTTTTTGTAAAATTGATAAAAAAATAAATAATTTTACAAATATCAATTAGGAAACAATCCAGGAACATGATTATGTTTTATAAAAAAAATTATAAAATCTTATTCTTATCACAAAATTTTGATATAAAAATAATCAAAAACAAGAGACTGTTAAATTTCCCTGTTTTGGATTCTCATAGCTGTCGATGATCTCGAGTATGCTTCCATAAGCGCCAGAGACGAGGGCGACTGCAGCGAGCACAATGATGAAAATGTCTTTCCATTTTTTCCAGTTGTACCTGCCGTAGCCTTCGTCGTAAAGTGCTATCAATTCGATAAATGCGGGGCAAAACAAGCCAAGAATTGAGAAGCAAACAGCACCAACTAGCGAGATGAATGGACTCAAATTGGGAACGATGATGGCAATAAGAACTAAAACAAACATATTAATATTAGCAACTTCAATATAAACAATAACTCTTATGGAAAGATGATTCACAAAATATATTTTTCTATACAGTCCTCTTCCATGTGGTAAAAATTTGTTCAAAACAAAAATTTGTTCTAAGAATTAAAGGACTGTTAGTGTATATAATGATAGCTATCTAAACACTTACTGCATCGAGTCATATTTCATAAATGCAGCAGATTCATATTCACAACAAAGTAAAAAATATAATTTACCTGTTCCCATGATCATTGTTCCACGCATGAAATAATAGCCCAAAGTGTGATATTTTTCTTTGATGTGTGGTCCAATGATGTTCCATGCGATTTCAGATGGTACAGAAAACTGAAGGCCGTAGGTGAAGAGAATTGAGAGAGCGACCAGGATCTTGACAGATTCAGCCAATCTGATGCAGTAAGAGAAATTAGTCAACAAATTAAATAATTGATATTTTATAATAATTTTGTATATTCAACTTACAACGTGGTTGGAAGATTTAATGTCACACTTCCGTCAGTTGCTTCACCAAAGCGGAGATAGCCAAAGAAGCCAACAGTTGCATAGAGCACAACAACCACTGACATAGCAATGTTTAAGACCCCAGGACAGCCGAGGAAGTGATGAGGGTTATGCATGGAGTTTTCTATTGGCAAGACCTACAAAAAATTATTTACAATAAGGGTAATTCAATAAGGGTCAATTTTCAACTTGCAAGCAGGAAAAAAGTACATACAGTGCCAATTCCTTCCATGGCAAAGAGAACAGTTGCGAAAAACAGAGGCCAGTGTTCTGCTTTAGTCACATAATGAACAGAGTCCAAACTTGGTATTTTATCAAATGTGTAGTACAATGTTATGGAGAGGCCAAACATGACAAAAGCGGTCGCCATTGCAGAAAACGGAACCAGATATTTCAACGACCTTATGATACCAAGAGGAATCAGAGGCAGTGCGAGCACAAGAATGTAAAGTCTTATGTTTACCGTGCATCCTAAATGATTTTCTATAACCTGTATGAAACAAAGTATTGTTTAATATTTTAAAAATTGTCTTATAAACTGAACAAAATTGTTTACCTGTTGGAAGGAAGCAGCTATAAAAACAACATATACTGTATTCCCAAAATAGTATGTTGCAAATAATGATGCTCGGACAAACTCCCTGAAAAAAATTATTTTTATTATTTATTTAAATTAATTATTTAGTCACCAGTCTATGAAAGGGTTTAGAGTATAAATTCAAGCATAAATAAATAATTACTTGGCAATTTTTGAATATTTCCTCATCCTTTCTGGTCCGGTTTGAAATGCGACTTCTGCTGTTTCGGCAAACCCCAGTGACGGCCTTTTGACTCTTGTAGACAAAAGTTGTGAACAATATACCTGCAGGTGAATATGTTATTTCTCAAAATATATTCCAGTAGAATAAAATAAATAAGAGTTGATATTGAGTGTTGGTCTGCGAATCGGTGAATGATTGAGCATTGGGTCCGTCTTCACTCATGGGATTGTTGACTCCTCAAATGTTTGAATAGTACAACAACCCATGAGTGAAGGCAGACTAAATAAGTGACTCATTGGTGGTGCAGCATGAAAATAAATAATATCGCAGGAAAATTAACATCAATAATATATACAAGATTTTTTTTTTAAAAGAGGTTATTTCAATTACGAGGTTATACTAACCCTTGGAGCACTGGTGGCTTTGGAATAAAAATCCCAGTTATAAGTATGAAGGATTTGAATGCAGGGCTGGATTCGAACCCAGGACCTTTAACTTACAGTGTTGAATTCTGTGTCAGCATCTAAACCATTGCGGCCACCGACCCCCATACAAGAAATTTTAAAGTTGGATTTCATATCAGCACCCACCAAGTCCAGTGAAAGGCCATTCCAAATCATTCGTATTTTTTATTATTTAACAGGCTCAACAATCAGAATTTTGAAAAACGTTATAGGAGTAGGTAAAAATCACATAGTATAACTGTTCTAGCAATTAAAGCTTCATAGAAAAATATTTTTAAAAAACTTCTAAATAAAAAAAAAAGTTTTAAGAGGTCGACGATTTTCATAAATGCTTTAACTGTATGAATTTAACCAAATTTCAACAAACAGGTTTATCCTAAATAAGGTGCGAAAAATTATGGATTCCGTTATAAACCGATCTGTGTTGAATATGTCGAAATTTCCAAGATTGGCCCAGATCAGCATCAGGGTCAATAATTTATGAATGATTCAATAGATTGGGCGATTACATTGAATAAAATCCTTCAAATGTTGCTGCAACCTCTTTGAGCAACATTAGCTCACCTCAATTGGAAAGATGAGCTTGAGCAACGTTAAAAACCTAGCCTGGTCAATTGTGACTAAGTGATAATGACACCGACCCAAAAAGTCTCCTTTATTAATGAGTTATTATCGGTTTAAATTTTAATTTCAATCAATAATCTATCAAACTAATTTGTTAAATCTAAGAATGGTAGCGAAGACTATTTCCAAGGTTCCTTTGTTCATTTTTCAAAGGAGTGAGCGCCTTTACTCTTTATGTGTCCTTGATAACAGCTTTTTTTATACTAAAAGCGACCTACTGCTCAAACACGTATTACGGGAATTTGAACTCAAAGACTTTTAAATCACCAGACGGATAAATACCATTAATAGAAACTACTTCATAATTAATTTTTTTAACATATATGTATATTTTATAGGGAAAGTAACTAGAATTTGTTATGTTGAACCGGCTCAGGGTTACTTATTGGGTCTGTCTCCACTCGCGTGTCTTTTGAGTTATTCAAAAAACGCGTTAGTCAAAAAACCAGGTTCAGCATGAGTTCACCGACTCGCAGACCAATACCCATGATCAACTCTAGAATTTCTTACTTACCAACAAATGAACGCAGTGTGTACAAATGAAGCCGACGACGAAAGTCCCGACTACGCTGAAGAGGAGCCCTCCGTGCTTGAAAGCGCCAGGCATCGCGAGAATTCCAGACCCAAGGCTGCTTTTCAAAAGATGCAGCAACGCGCCCGAATCACTGAGAAGAAATTCAGTTGTTTAAAAATCAAAATGCAAGACCGTAATGATTATTTCATGTAATAACCTATCGGACACGGTCTGGTGGTGTACAAGAGCTTGACTTATAAGCAAGTAATAAGTAGGTAAAAAATCGCGTTTCTTGAAAACGTCCATCAAATAAGTTCAACTGAGATTTGTGAACGTAAGAAAGTGGAATGCTCTTTCCGACCCAAATATCAATGTCAATCGAGATTCGAGAAAGGCAGGACATTCAAGTATGAATTCTTTCCCTGCCGATCTTTTCCGCGATATCTGTTTGAAAATACAGATAATCTTCGATGGTCAGGAAATAATAAGAAATATATATTTTCGAACTTACGAGGTTGCATTGGTTTTGTCTCTGTTGTTGAAAGGATCATAAAGATCTGTCTCTGACTTATTCATGCTAAGATCTTTTTTCTGAATGACATCGTTGTCAGCTAGTTTCAATCTGAAACACATCAAAATTTTATAAAGGGTGACTATTGTTAATAAAAGAATTGATTAAAAAAACAGGGCTGCTTACGTTGAGGACGTGTTGAGGTGGTCGCCGTTCATATTTATCACAGATGGAATTTTTTCCATCGCCATCTCCTTATTCATGTTTCTGTAAAAGGAAACACAACTATAATTAACATGATCAAAAAATAAAAGTATAAAACATAAAACTAATGAGTGGATATTACGACTCTTACAAAGGTCGAATAGATCATTGCTAATGATCCTTCTGATTGTCTTTGAATGATGTACCAAGAGGGTGAAACAAAAGCAAATTTGTTTTACATAGAATTGTTGGTGGTATTGTATTGTAGATATTAGTTTGTCCGGTTTCATATATGTATAGTAACTACTTATAAGATTTAAACAGTGACCTAGCGAGGATAGGCGGACCAGGAAGAACTGTAAGGTCGAGTTGCGGACGGCGGCCGTCTTTGCTCTTGAGATAAGGCTACAAGAATGTTTAATTTTCTTTCTCGTCTAAAAAGGAAAGTACGATTCGTTCCAGGCCGCAACATTTTCCGTTACGGGAAACGGAAAAACCCGAATTAATTCAGTGCAGTACGTCTGCGATAATTTCATCGTCACTTTTAAATTAGATCCTGAGTCGGTTCTTGGCGTCGGAAATCGAAAAAGGGAAAGCAGGCGATCGCAGCTAACCGACTGTGCGGCTGTTAAATGTCCGAATCGTACGGGTGCCGAGCAAATCGACGCTAATCGACGCTAATCGACATACGGAGATCATTTGGAAGAAAGTGTCCGACATTCACTCACGTATGTCAATACCCGAAACGCGGGTCGGTTTGTAGAAAACACTCGAACTGGCCTCTTGAGCGTTTCGAGTGTTCTGGGGTAATACGTACCATTAAGCATCGTGGACGGCCAGAAGTAATCAATCACAACGATTTTTTTGGTTTCAGTATTACACAAGTTATTACATAATCTGTAGCTTTATCTTTAACCGTTTTTTGTTTGTGTGGCTTTGAGTAAAATTCATGTTTACATTAAAAAAAAATATATATATAAAAATGGCAGGATATAACGCATTCTCAACATTCTTGCTACCTATAAAAAAAATTAAGATTATAACATTGCAAAAAAAACCTTTCTTATTTTCAAACATTTTTACAAATTGTAATTTTTACTCATTTACCTATTTTATTATCTGTGCGCTTCCTATTTTAAAATACGACATGACTGTTTATCGCGTTTAAAAAAAAAAATCGGAAACTAAATAGCCTTAAATTGTTAATTCCAAAAGAGAAAAGTAGATAAATCATAATTTTTATGAAGTTCTTAACCATAAGTTTAATTTATTAATCTTTAAGTAAGGTATTGGTTGAGATAAAAAAGTCAGTGTTACGAGAGGGATTCGAACCCTCGACTTTCGGCTAAATACGCCGCTGCTCTACCACTTGAACTATCGTGTCTTCAATCCACTCGGACACCAACTTCCCACCTCAAACCAACCTTTTGAATTGTCCCTCTTTTTCAAATGCCGTGTAATCTATTTGATTCTCGGCGACAAATAAAATGGCCACGGAGAGCTTTAGTGAAGATATACTTCGTTTAACTTATTAAATTAATTAATTAATCGCGGTCCTATTGACCATAACATCTTTCAACTAATTAATTTTTATGTAAGGTATAGGTTGAGATAAAAAAGTCAGTGTCACTAGCGGGATTCTAACCTATGACCTTCGGCTCAATACGTCGCTGCCCTAACCATTTGCCATAGCTCAAGGAAATAGTACTTAAAAACTAAATAACTAAGTGCAAAACGCGCACTGTATAATTTTTTTACAAAGAGAGTATTTTTAATTCGAATTTATTACAAAGAATTTTATCTACATACAACGGTATGTTAATTATTATTTACAGGCTTACGCGGGTTTGCTGAACAGTTTTGCTACCCCTTATTAGCAATTTTACATTTAAAGTATTCACGCAACCGTTTTATTGTGTAATAGAGTTGGTGTCCGAGAGGATCGAGGTCACGATAGCTCAATTGGTAGAGCAGCGGCGTATTGAGCCGAAGGTCATAGGTTCGAATCCCGCTCGTGACACTGGCTTTTTTATCTTAGCCAATACCTTACATAAAGATTAATTAATTGAAAGATGTTATTTGGTCAATCGGACCACGAAATATAATGAAATTCATAAGTTTAATCTGAAATTAAAATTATTAGATGCTCTATTGTATGTTTCACCGAATGTACATAGATGAAACAAAACTATTTATCAAACATATTAATAGCCAGTGGACTTTTTGCATGTCCACGCTTAAAATTCAGTTATGTGTTCCAAAAGAAATATAAATCATTTGGTGCTGAAAATCCGATAGTAGAAGGGAAAACGCCGTGGGAATTCCAAGTGAAGTTTAAAATAAATCTTCTATAAATCTAATCTTATTATCAATATTCTCGTTAAATCGAACCCTCGATGATTTGAAACCTGTATAAATTGAATATTTCGATTGATTCTTTGAAATTCGGATTGGTCGAGATTTTTCTATTTATGTTTCTTTAAATCCTAGATGTAATGTACAGCATTTTTTTTTAAACCCGGTTTCGTTGTTAACTGGGTCAAAAATGAATTCGTGCTTAGCCTGTTTGTGATGTGAACCTCCTTGTAACTACGTTTAGGTTTCACGTATGAGGTAACATTTTACCGTCAACAGCTGATGAACACGATGGTCCAAATTGGACGTGCAATCTCCAGAATGCTGGCCACATTACACTGTCATTTGAAGCTGTCGTCGTTTTCGTGGCCTATCCAGTATATTAAGCAACATCGAGAAACCCGTGCAGAGCTCTGGAATTATGACTTTCTTAATTATTAACGCAATTCCATTCTTCATCGGTCGTCGAATCGACACTGGAACGAAAACGGAAAAGCACTTAACGACGAGTGTCGTAACAAGACTGTCCTTTCACTCATGGCTTTAAAACGTACTATTTTCAAGTATGCTGAATACATACTTGATTTAAAACAATCAAACCCCTTTAGACATAAAATATAAACACAAAAAGAGTTGTGAGATTTCTTCTTAAGGTTTGTGTGGTCATAAACCTAACGGTTTGCATATTCTCGCTGTTTCGTTCGGACGCTTTCCTTGGGGGAGTCGGATTCATCACAAATAACAACCTAGTCCGCCAAACGCCAATTCTTGGTAAGACAATTACACCTAGTCTTGTCGTGCTCTTATTAGAAAGATAGGCTGAATTGTAGCGCCTCGGAAAAACGGTGGTAGTCTTCTGGGTACCTAGGCACGTTTTGCTGGAGGGACAACGAACGTGCAGTCGAGGCGGCGAAAGCTGGGACGTCTCGTCCTCCAACCAAACACCGCGATCCGGCCCGGTGATACTATACGAGCAATAAAGAACGTAATAAACTCATAATACAAATAAATAATGAATAAAAATCATCAATGAGCCAGATCGTCCTAGAATCTCTTGCGGTCAAGAGCACGACTGAGCGATAACTTACAGATTTCCTGAAACGCAAGAAAGGAATACCCGTTTGAGGACAGGCACGCAACTGAACGTACACATGCATTTGGGGCAAACCCGCGTATGTGTCCCGCTAGTAGAGAAAGGTTGCTCAGCGTGTCACACTTGGTCGAGGAGTGCCAAGCCTTGTGTCCTTATAGGGAGCGAGTAGGCACAGCACCTATTATTAAGGCAGTTTGTGAGTGTGTTGTTGGGTCCCCTGTTCTGATTTTTAAAGGAAACAGAGGTGTTATTTAGAGTGTAAATATTGTATTATTGTATGAATGAATGCATACATACACTGTAAGTATGTAATTTTATGTATATAGTTGTGTGTCTGTTTAAGTAAATAAGTAAAATGGCCGATTGTGGATTATCGAGTACCCCAATGGCCCTCACAGCGAATTGGAGGCTGACATGACGGTATTATCGATAGCCATCATTTAAAAAAAAAAAAAAACATATAATGTCCTGTACTCAACAAATATCCCAGTGACACCGACTGATGATGGCGAAAAGTATCTGACAAGCAAAAATTATCAGAAATGATCAAATTACAGGTCCATCAACCTTCACACCAACTGGAGTTGTCAGTTTTTATGCGGTGATGTTTCATTTTATAATGTTCAGTTTTGTTAATGCTGTATGTCATAAATGTATCTGTATATGTGTTCAATATATTTTGCAAGAGTTTCGGAAAAGGTTTTCTTTTTAAAGTTTTGATGAAATAATTCTGCGAGTATAGTTGGGTCGCCTTTTCCTAGTCCTTCCTTTTGTGGGTATCGTTTGAACGACTAAATGACATATTCATCCCCCCTCAAGAAGAAATCTTACAATTTTGGATCATTTCTCGTTCTCATATTCACTAAATATATTATTTAAAAAATAAGTTGACAAGCGTTTACTTATTATTTTTAAATTTGTAAGTTACATAGTTGAATTATGAACCCGGACAATTCCATTCTTCTATAAGTCGACCAGTCTTCGTAAGTACCTGTCTAAAATCATTCTAGTACATGTAACACTGTGATCGACTGCATTGAAAAAGTCTAATTGTCCCTACCTTTCACTTGCAATGACAATGCTACACCTTAATCAGGGACTGGAAAAGGAACCTGAGCAATATTCAATTCAAAAGTGGCTAACATAAAATTATTATTTCATTGCGCGTATAAATTAAGAAATAATTCCTGCTTTCAAGTGGGTTAGAACGTAAGAAAGTTCCGTTTTTATAAGTCGAATTGTACTTTAATGATTTATAATGCATATAAATGATTATATAACGATTAATGTATTTTTTTGAATTGAATTACCCTGCTATAAATACCTAAATTAAATAATACAATTTTTACATTTTTTAATACAACATTAACGATTATATATACTTTGAATTTTCGACTTACAATATATAGCAATTTTTTTCGCTCGAGTATCCACTAGTTTTGGATTTGGTCGGCATCGAGCTGTTGATTGATTCACGACTGATTCACAAGAAGAATGACAATACACAAACAGATATTTAATTAATATATATCTTAAATAGGGAAATACCTTTTGTTTGAAGTGGCGGGGATAACTTATCAATGGGCAACCTCTCACGAAAATCAAACAGCCTTTATTACTTATTATCGAAATGTTTAACATAAATAGACGTCATTTGGGATTTTCCCCTTGTATGAAAGAATGTAATTAAAATTTCGGCACGTGAAAACAAATTTGTTCCTTAGATTTCAGTCTTCATTATTGTGTTGATTAATTACTTCAACATAGGAGAATTTAAATAACCATTATATCAAAAACATCTTTATTTACGTAGAATAATTTCCTTTTATTTTAATGACGGTTTGTTTGCAACCCGCAATCATGGTCTGCGCTTTTTCAGCTTGGAAATGAGACGGAACGTGCGCCCGAATGATGTAGGGCACTCGTGGCCACGAGAAGGGCTCAGGTGTCGGAATCTAGTTCACGTACCCCGGATCAAGTCCGATTTTCTATGCGGCTTTCGAGTTTTCGATGTGAAAGTGAAATTAAGCGAAACAAAAGTGTGGTACCGTGGTTTGACCCATCGGACTCGACATCTGAACTAACTGATTTAAGCAACGGAAGTTTTGCGGTGCTTTCATTTCAAAACGTTTCTGTTAAAATTTTGGTTGATTTGTGAACATTCGAGTCTAGCCCAGCTTACAAACCTTAAAAAATAGTAATTGTACTTCGTGGTCCGATTAACCAGATAACTTTTTCCAATTAATTAATCTTTATGTAAGGTATTGGTTGAAATGAAAAAGCTACTGTCACGAGCGGGATTCGAACCCACGACCTTCGGCTACATACGGCGCTGCTCTAACCACTTGAGCTAGCGTGACTTCGATCCACTCATGCACCAACTTCCCAACTCAACCTACCTTTCGATTCCTCAACCCCTCCTTCAATTTTCCTCCTTTTTTCCATTTTTCAAATGTATCATCAGGATTCGATTCTCGGCCACAAAAGAAATGGCTACGGGGAGCTTTAGCGAAGATATACTTCGTTTTACTTATTAAATCCATTATATTTCGTGGTCCGATTGACCAAATAACATCTTTCAATTAATTAATTTTTATGTAAGGTATTGGCTGAGATAAAAAAAGTCAGTGTCACGAGCGGGATTCGAACCTATGACCTCCGGCTCAATACGCCGCTGCCCTAACCACTTGAACTACCGTGACTTCGTACTATCCATTCGGACACTTGAAAAATCGCAAAAAGGAGGAAAAATTCGAAAGGTTGAGATGGAGAGTTGGTGTCCGAGTGGATCGATTTAGCCGAAGGTCGTGGGTTCGAATCCGGCTTGTGACACTAGCTTTTTCATTTCAACCAACACCTTACATAAAGATGAATTAATTGAAATAATTGTACTGTTCATTAAAATAGTTTTAGAAATCTCATTGAGGTCAGCGGGGTGTTGTACCTATATTTCGGTCGTTTCTATTCGTTTTCGTCTGTCAACTTAAGGATTAAGGTAAGGATTTTGAATTTTTTATTTAATTTTATTATTACTCTTTATTTCTTCCGATTTTATTATACGACGTGTTTAACCGTACGTATTTCGGTCATTTCTAATCGGTTTTGTCCGTCTTTTTACTCTCTTCCGTTTGGTCTGTCAATCAATGTGTAAAAAGGACACGATTGACAAAATAACACATAAAAAATCACAACCATTTTCCAAGAGCATCATGGTCCACGCAAGTTTTTCTATTTATGTTTAAAAAAAATATGTTTCACTCTGTTTTGATTTAAAAAACTATGTTTTTGATGCAAAATAACATGAAAAACAGCTAGATTTGTTAAATAAATAAATACCGGTTTACACGGCCCAATCAGGTTTCTTCATCGACAATTAGTCCACTTACAATCTTTCTGGTCCGGCTAGCTTGCTGTTTTGGTCTGTTTGCCTGACGTGTTTTTGCATTTAGCCATCTTTAGTGGTCGATCTAAGGGTTATTTGGTCAATTTTGTTGGGTTTTTTAACCGACGCCAACCAGCGAAGTCCTATCTTATTTTTGTGGTCTTTCAGACGCGATTTGCTTTTTCGCCATCGTCAGTATTAAATATGCGACGGAAATAATAGGCAACGATCAAACTGCATTATACTGTCATTTTTGTCTCGTCTTTCACATTGAATCAAACTATCCGTCGGATAATTTTCTTCTAAGCACAATTTCTATATGTAAAAGTTGTCTATAATTCAGTTCTAGGATATTTGTATAAATACCACTGCTAGTCTGTGTATGTAGATCACAACATGATTACTAATGGCAAAGGTAGAATTTTAAAATTATCTAATTGAAAATTATGTTTAAGCAGCTATATTTTATAAATTACTGTAAGCAAAACAAATTTTGAAATGTTGACTAGTGTATTTCCACAGAGCCAGAAGATATTCTGAGGTAGTACTTTAAAGTTACTTTCTTTCACTCTAATTTTCAATTAGTCGGAAAAAGTGAAAACTCAATAGGACTCATTGTAAATAATAGAAAAGTATATTGGTTTGTATTTTATTAAATTTGTGTTCACTTCGATTCTGATTGAATGATAACTAACAAGACAACACTTCGAATTAGGAAAAAAATTATTCTGTAATAATAATTAATAATAAATAATTAAAATTGTCATATTTTTATCTGTAATCATAATATTTCGTTTATTGTTGGTCAGGCACGTTTTGACATTTCACGAGGAGAGTTGTTTATCACAGGACAAGAAAGAAGAAGAACGATCAAACTAGCTTAGTATTCGGTAGATCATTCAACAACAAACCTTGAAAAAATAATTTTGACCAAATTTAAATATAGATTATGTTAGTAATTTAATTAAAGTAAATTATAAGATTATTTATAACCCATTTGTCCGTGTATTTTTCCTGAGACCTCTTAAATATTTGAATCGACCTGTGCGTGGTCTGCCCTTTCTCTTGGTGCTCTAGCGTTGAACTATGCTGACTATGTTTGCTACGCACTGATTTTAATAAACAGACGATTTTCCTTCATCACATTCCAAGCGTACAGGCCTGTCAAAAGTTTTGCCACGTCGCCCATCGGAAATATGCCCCTGTGATGAAGGAACTGTAACAGTACGTTACACATCCGTTGCGGTGAAACTTTTTATCGACGGCCGGCGATTTATCTCACCTTTATCTTTCCACAAGTATTTAGTCGAAATTAATGAGCCAGCGACAATTAATATTTGACCGGGTGAGAGTGGAGCTATCTGATGAAAACGTATTGTGTAATGTTCCTTTCTATTGCACTTTGCTAAGTAGGATGCCCTGGAATCGCTGAAAAGATTTACAGGTGACAGTTTGAAAACTTCAGAGGATTCTCTTTAACTGGCTAGGAAATCTTCTGAAACATGATTCAGTGTAAACAACTGTAGAAACTTTTGATTGATACACGTGAACTAGAAGATGTATTTATTTATTTGATTTTTTTTTATTGAATAAGCGGTAGTAAGAAGTTGATTTTGGTCATTAACGTAGCTCTATAACGAGGTGCCAACTTGTACTATTGTCACCTCATATCAGCCTTTGACCATCCAGGACTCTTAGCTTTTAATGACCGAGAAACCTAAATAAACATCTTGAAGGTGTATAAATCCTGCAAGTCCTTTAATATGCTCGAGTACTTTACATCTAGTGCCAGCTCTCTGTAAAGAATAAAGAGTAAAGTTTTCAGAAGTCACCGGTCTTGAACCTGAAGAAGCTTTCTTTTTCTCTTTGAACTCCGACAATAACTTTTTTTACTACTTGTAACATTTTCGGTTCGAAACAATCGAAATTATTGGAACTAGACTACTTTCAGCAAATAGTAGGTATAGTCTAATCTTTTGGTCAAAAAATCTTCCTCTTTATCTGTAGTAGTTGAATAAGGCTTAGCGTTCAACATGACAAGATCACCATGAAACCTAAACAAGCATATCTTGCTGTGTACAAATCCATTGAATGTTCGCTTCATATGCTCTCACATTTTACACCTGGAGCAAGTCCTCTCTAAAGTGTGAAGTTTTCAGAAGTCACCGGTCTTGAACCTGAAGAAGCCTTCTTTTCCTCTTTGAAGTCCGACAATAACCTTTTCTACATCTACTTGTAACACTTTCGGTTTGGAAGAATCTAAATTATTAGAACTAGCATACTTTCAGTCAGAGAAGTATAATATTTTGCCCAGATAATGTTCTCTTTATGGCTTCAGTCGGCACTGTCTTAGGAGGGCGTGAATCTGCAAGATTAGCCACTTTTAAACTGTTATTCAAGTGCAAGCTCATGGTGCTAACTACAGTATTAACATCCGTCTCCAAGAGAATAATGTAATTAGGGGTGTAACTTGGTAGGCAAAACAACTTTTTTTAAAACATGTTCAAAACCAACGCTATAATTGCAACGTTAGTATTTTTTGATATAACCGCCTACATATATAGCATTTTTTCAGTGCATTTTTCACACGGTGCACAATTTTAAGAGGAAAAGTAAACACCTAAAATTTTCCAATCAGGCAAACGGCAGTGCTATGCAGTAAATGAGTGCTTGTATTTTTTAATTTTTAATTTGATTTTTTTGCAGCACTTCTAAAACATCTTAGATCTAAAACATCTAGGGATGAACTTTCCTCATATAAAGAATAGATTTTCGATTTGGGTATTTTAAATTACATAATTCGATTTAACTTAATCTGGCCATATAGTGCTTATGAAAGTATTCCACATGGTTATTTGTCGAACACGTAGCATGTATGGTATGTTTTAAAAGATACATGACCATTTTGCACCAATAATTTAAGTTTATTTATATTCAAGTTTATGTGTAGTGATTATATATTTCTATATAATCCTGAAAGGATAATCTGGCCGAACCATTACCAACACATTTTTTCCCTTCGTCGGCTCTTTTCACTTCAAAGAAGCCGACGCCTTATACAANCAATGTATACCGGGTTAATATGTCCAAGTATACCGGGTTGGAATACAGGGCCGCTGGACTCGAAC